CCTCCCTTTCATCATCGCGATGAAATAATTACCCCCGCCTCACCTGGCCCCCCAGTTCCACCAGGCTCAGGCCGCCCCACGCCGACCACCGCGACCGAGCTGCACCAGCTGCGCTCCAGCCGTGCGGTTAACAGATTTTGCTTCATATCCGTTTGTGTATTTAAAAGATTTTTTTTCGTGCAGTAAATAATTTTTTCGTTATAAAGTGTAGTCTGGTACGTAAGCGGATAGGGTTGGCGGCAAATCAAAGAGAGCAGGCAGGGCGAAAGACAGAGACAGGTAGGGTGTTGGAGGCATGGATGATACAACCGGGTAAAAGGATATGCCTGTGGAAATAAACAGCGAGAGTGTGTAGGTACAATGTAGAGCGGGAAAGGAATCTAGGCGGTTACGTTTTACTCATCGTCCCCCATTTCCTTCTTTTGTCTCTCTCTCTTCGTTTTTTTACGGTGTCCTTATTGCCGTTTATTGCAGCGCTAGGCCCCGCCCTGCTGCCTCCGCCCGCTTGCCTGCAGCAGATTGAGGCGAGACCCACACAGCAGCCGCAGCCCCGGTGGCGGCGGGGCGGGGGCGCGCTGCTCTGCTGCATCCGCGAGTGAGGGCGCGGGCGGGGCGGGGTCCTTACCACACAATACGTGCCGCTGCTGCGCGGCGCAGGGAAAAGGCTTGCCTCGCTGTTGTCGCACTCACTACCGTCTCGTAAATTGTGCATGCGCACATCACGCCGGGTACAGGCGAAGCGAGAGAGCGCGCGCGCGCGCCTCCGCTTTGTTTTTATTCTCTTTCTTTGCTGCGTTTGTTCTAGGTTTTTTTAAACCCTTCGTTTTTCCTTGTTTGTTTTATTTTTTTCCACCAGTTTTTTTCTGCGCCCGTGCCGGTCTTGCGCACCGTACGGTACGGTGCACCCGGGTGCACCTCCCTCTTGTTCTCACCTCCGCGCCCCGTATAGCGGTCCCTTGCGCCGCCGAGCTTTCGCCACTCGATCCCCGGAGGCACTCGGCAGTGTTCGTGTTGTTCAATACGAACGCGGGCGCGCAAGATCTCTCCTCAAATCCCTCCCGAAAAACGCCCCACGTCGCATCAAAACTCCATGAAAAGGGTATTTTATTTATTCCCCGCGCAGTCCCACAGTAGCAGAGGTCGCGTCCCGTAGGCATACACCTACCTGGGGACGCACGGGGGGGATGACGCGCCACACGACACGGCAGAGGCGCGCATGGGGACTGAGTGGCAAGTGGGGGGGGTGGGTAGGTAGGCGACGTAGGAGATTCTTCCCCGCCGCCGTCGCGCCACCACCGCATGCAAGCAAGGGAAGAAAGTGCGCGCGGTAGACAGATCGTTATACCCACGGGCGGCTCTTCTTCTGCTCCTCCAGGAAGCAGCAGGGATATAGGCCTGTGGGATTGCGTGCCGAGGCGCCATTAAATATTCGTGCCGTCCTCCTCGTATCCTTCTGCCCGCGCGCACGGCGCGGCGGGTAAAGAAAAAGAGAACGGCAGAGAGAGAGAGAGAGAGAGAGAGAGAGAGAGAGAGAGAGAGAGAGAGAGAGAGTTGATGACATAGGTGGGGGCGGCACACGGGACGCCGCTCGCTCATGGCCGGGCCCGTGCCACCCAATTGTCGGCTTATGTGCCGCCACTGCCGCCGCCGCCGCCAGCTTTCCCTGCTAGCGCACGCAGAAAAGCTTATTCCCCCGCTCTTGCGCTCTCAGAGCCGTCCTGTGCTCTCAAGGCCGGAGCTCATACTCACTCGAGACATTACATTAAGTGAGACAAGCGCCGCCGGAGGCGAGCAGTGCGGGGCGGGCGGTGGCGGTGGCCCCCTCTTCTCTAAGAGGATATCGACCTCACTTCCTCCTGGAAAGCGACCGTATTGACACGACCCACCGCTGAGCTCGCCTCGCGATATACCGCACCGCGTCAGCCATGGGCCTGCTGCTTGCTTCCATCAGCTCCTGGTAAAATGAAATAGCAATACTAAAAAAAAAAAAAATAAAGAGCAGGGAAAGGGAAGGAAATCAAGTAAAAGACGAGAACCAGGTGATGCAAAGGGGGGTAAAGTAAAGGACGGGGGCGTCAAAGTAAAATATAACGCGCTGAATAATTAATCCGCCGCGGCGCGTCTCCTGATGCATATTCACAAGAGTCCCGTCTAGCAGGTCCGTCCCGGGCCGACCCGCCCGCCCGGGGCACCGCGCCGGCGCCTGCCGCTCACCGAGACCACCGCCGGGCCGAGGTAGGGACGCAAGGCGCACCACAGATGCGCGAGCAGGTGCCCGCCGAGCCCCGCGGCTGCAGAGCTACAGCTAGGCGCTCCCCATCCCCCTTCTCTTCCTCCTCCCCCTCCTACTCCTCGTCCTCCTCGGCTGATGCCAGGTGGCATAGTATCACACACCAGTATTGTGAGTGAAAATTTAAGTCACATTTATCAAGACAGTTTTTAGGGTGAAAACTATAGGAACGAAAGAAAATTAAGTTGCAAAAAATAGAGACAGTCTTGGGGACAATCAATCTAAAAAAAAAAAAAAACTATCAAGAAAATTTCAAAAAATTTCAATATACTCTTGGAAAGTTTTTTTGCAAGGAAATAAAAGGGAAATTTGTAGTCTTTCTTCCTATCCCAGACAGGCAGGTAGACAGACAAACACGAAAGTGCACAGAGAGACACAGACACACACACACACGACACGGCGAAAAGCAAGTCGTCGAAATTGCCGGTCGCCGAGCTAATCACGCCGGTTGCGCGGCAGAGCGCCGCCGCCGGCCAATGGGCGAATAATTACAAAAAGCCAATTTGCAAGCCGCGAAATGTTGTGTTCTGCGCAGTGGCGGGCGGCGGTGGCTTTGCTCCTGGCAGTGTGGACAGGAAGTGCGTCGCCGATGCAGCACAGGGGGG